CCGCCAGCCCAGCCCGCAGCCCGCGCTCCCCGGAGCGCTGGAGACCACCGCGGGGGCCCCCTTTGCCCTTGGGAGAAGCGGTCTTGGAGGTATTGATTTCGGTGGTCGGATTTTTCCCCTGGATCTATCAATTCACAATTCGAATTTAGAAGAAAAAAGGAAAACATGACGTCTCCAGCCAAATTCAAAAAGGATAAGGAGATCATAGCAGAATATGATACTCAGGTCAAAGGTAAGGGCTTTGAAAAACAGTATAATGCATACGCTGTGTGGACGGGTGAGGCGTGTGTTTCCATCCTGATGTGTAGGCTGTTCATTTCTTCGGGCGGAGCAGGTGGGCGCCGGTGGACCCCGGAGGTGGTTTCATGGGGAGGATCCGAGCCTCCGAAGGCTGGGCAGTGGCAGGGGCTACAGGCACCGGGAAGGGAAGGAATTTTTGGAGCTGGCTTTAGGAGTGTGTACGGGGCTGGCCATTTTGGCAGTCCTTCCCCCAGGTCGAACAGGGGAGGGGGAGGGGCAGGAGGCTCTGAAAAAGGGCAGCAGTTGGCCTCTGTGCATTTGAGTCAGGAGTCCTCGAAGGACAACTGGAATCTGACAGGTGTTTGGACATTGATTTTGGAGGTTGAATAGGCTCAACAGAAAGGCAACCTTGAGAAGGTGTACCAACCATTTGGACGGTTTGTTCTGATGCGCTGTATTAAGGTGTGAGATTCGGTGTGGCACTGGCCCCTGAAAGTCCCTAGCCATCTTGGGTGCACCTTGTACCTGCCCGTCCCCGGTCACGCTGCACGTATGGGTAGAGATCAGAGAATGGCACAATAAGGCCACCCATACCCAGCCTCCGCCCTCACCTCAATTGGAATAGAGTTGGGATGTTAGGGTTTCAGGGTGGTGCTGATTTTGGAAAATGGGAAGACATAATTGTTTAACTCTTCTGTGCTGTCACCCTCTGCTCCAGAATGTGTGCATTCAGAACCCGGTTTCCATTTTCTGCAAAAATGTGAAGGGTGAAGCAAAATGTAGACATGGAGAAAGTAAGTGCGTTGTCTCCTCATCTGGTCTGCTGGCTGACTCAGCTGGTCAATCAGAGCCCAAACCCAAACAGCCTTTTCTTAACCCCTTCCACCGGGTTTGTGCCTGTGAAAGAGCCCTGGCACTGTCTCTTCCTGACCAGTCACTGGGAAAGCCATGTGGCTCCAGCGCATTGAGACCTTAGCTGGGGAGGGTTATACCACATGGTTAGAGCTCAGGGTTTCCTTTGTTTCAGAGTACAGAGGGAGGGGCCCCTCCTTCCTTCCCTGCACCAGTGCTGGAGAGATCTTTTTCCATTATAGAGGATTTGGGAAAGGACCATGTCTCCCCTTCATGATCGCCTAGGGTAGGAGTAGGGGTGGAGTGCAGAAGGGGGCAGCTCCCTTATCTCTCAGCAGGTTGGAAGGTAGTTTGAAGTACGGCTGTGCTTGCAGGTCTTTTCTGTGTCATCAGTTTGGTCAGTGCTGGAGGTGCACTAAGGGACCTTCCTCTCCCTTGCCTGCAGATGTCGGTAGGCTGGTCAGAGATGGGGGAGTCGATGATCGATAGCTTAGTTGTGTGGCTGTGAGTTATGATTGAGATCTTGGCCTCTTGTTACTGTTCCTAATCCCAGCCTGTTTCTGTAAACAATAGGCCATTGGCCTCTCTGTGTCCTGTCCAGATGTGCTGCATTCTGCCTGGGAATTCCCCCCTGCAGTTTTACCCGGATAGGGCATTTAAAAAATATATGTATCTTATTTGTAACTGTTGCCATCGGGAGTGTTAATAACTTGGGCTTTTCCAGATTTTCCACAAGCTCACTATTTCACTTAAGATGCAAAGTGATTTTACAGGTTTATTTTTTTGGACGATTCAGGGCTGACAGGTGTTAATAGAATCTGTCGATTTTTATTTTTATTGGTAAAGGATTTGTCACGAGTGTCTCAAAATTAAACAGTGTACACTTCATGTACAGGCAGTGCTCATTGAAATGATGTAATGCAGCCAGCTACTTGGGGTTTCTCTTCAACACTGCCACAAGCAGGAGACTGTTGGGCTTTGCTTTTGTATCTTTCCTGGTCGCTCTTCAGGGTTATAGAGTTTTATAGGTGACAGAGGACAGTGTCTTTCTCACAGCAGTACCCCCCGTGACAGGGTATGGAACGGATTCGAATGGTTTGGCCCCTCACTTTGCAGCTGATGGGGGGGGGTGCAGAGACCCGAAGAGGCTTGCCCAAGGTCACACAGCGAGGTGGGAGCAGATCTGAAACCAGGAGCGGTTTTAGGCACTCCCAATTCTCTCTTTTAGTATGAAACTTACCTGATCAGGGTAGAAAACAAAGGAAAACTTACTAAGAAGCCCACTCTGTCCTTGAAGAATAGTAGTGATACTGTTACTGCTTTACATTCTGTGTGCTCCTGTTCCCTCCTGTCCCAAGTGCTGTATGTGAATGACCTGCTTTATCCACGCGGGGAAACTAAGGCTGAGAAAGGGTGCAGAGCCCCTCTGAGGTCACACAGCCAGATCGCACAGGTTGACTTCATTCCTTTATTCAGCAGATGTTTATTGAATGTGAAGACTATGGAATCCTCACCCTCAGGAAGCTTAGCTCTCCAGCCTGCACATTCTATGGGCGGGTGCAAGACCGGGACACAGAGGGCACGGGTTCGAGGTTGGCTGTGCCTCTAGTTAACTAGAAGCCCTGAGTCAAAATTATGAATTTTAGCTTTTTCTTTTTATGTGTTCTGTGGGCCTCTCAGTGCTGCCAGCCTTATTTCTTTTATAGATACCAGGATAAGAAAAGAAAATTGCTGTAACAGCGAGGCAGTTTGGATTGGTGGTCATCAGTGCAAGTGTTAGAGAGTTCAGGTTGAAATCTGTTTTGTCTCACGCTTAGTTTCTTAATGTGAACTGTGGGCAAAAGAAGGTGGTCATAAGCACTCAGCGAGACTCAGTAAATCATGCCGTGCAGCACTGGGCTCCAGTGCTGTGGTCCACCCTCTGTAGACCTTACGGCACCTTCTTGGGCTGACCAGCAAGGCCGCAGTGCTTTCTGTCTCCAAAGCCCTAGAGGCTAAATGACAGGAATGAAACTTGAGTTCTAGTTCAAGTCCGTCCAGTAATAGCAAAGGGTATTGTAAGATGAGCAGGTGAACCGTCCATGCACTGGCACTGCTGTCTTGTGTGTGTCTGCCAGGAGTCCCGGGTCTGCCTTTCAGCCAGCACGGTGTGAATCAAGTGATCTCTCAGTGGACTTCGCAGAACTCTCTCAGGCCTGTGGTTTTGCCTTCCTCCCTGTAAGCCACCTGCTTGCATTGCTCTGAAGAGCTTCTGAGACTGCAGCCCCAGCTCGACCCCAGTGTGGTTTTATGAGGGGTGTGTGCCTCCTTAGGCAGCCTGACTTGTAGCTGCTTTTTGAAAAACCATCATTGTGTCTGGTTTGTGGGTGTTCAGATTCCTTTGAAAGTTCATGCCTTTCAGTATCGGACTCAAAAGCACTAATATTCTTACTTAACCTTCCTACATAATCTTTTTCAGTTTACAAAATGTATATATTAATCTCTGGAAATCCCTTTTCTTTTTTTGAGGCAGTGACTTGCTATGTAGTTCAGGCTAGCTTTGAACTTGCAGCAGTCCTGCCTCAGTTTCCCCAGTGCTGGGACCACAGGCATGAACCACCATGCCAAGCTACTCTGGAAATTTTTGCCAACCCTGTCAAGTCCTAACCTTGAGTAGTGAAAGGTAGTGAGGCGGGGGACATGGTACCAAAGATAACTGGCTGCGTGGTATCTGGGTGAATTCACATTGCTGCCTACAACCCTGGCCGTTGTCCTTCCTTGCTCAAGGCCTGTTTCTTTTATCCTCTCCATACCTTAAATGTTTATGGTCCTCCAGAAAGCCTGAGGTTGACAATTAATGCAAATATTCCAGGAGGAATGGTTTCAAACAAGGTACTGTGTACTGACTAAGCAGTCAGATTCTCTTTCTTGAGAACAGTAGGAGTCTCCTCTCCCCTTCTCTCTCCCTGTCTCTCTGTCATGTCCTAGGAGAACAGTGTGTGTGCATCACAGAGCTGAGAAGTGGATTTTTGTAATTTCCATCTGGAGCATTTTAGTAGAAAAAGCGCAGGCCTTTGCCTGAACAGTTTAACCCTTTCAGAACCCTTTGGGAGCTGGAGATGAAATTTCAGAGTCCTGCCATCGTGGGGCACAGGCTCTTGGGAGTGCTGATTGCTGGTATTTAAACAAGCGTGCTCCCCAGGGAGGACTGAGCAGCTCCCCACTTAGCCAGCACAGGTCTTCTCCTGGAGCGGCTTCCCTTCCAGCCCCACCCCCACTCCCAAGGGAGCTTTAAATATAATCAGTTTGTGCAAAGCTGCAGTAGAGCATCTTGGAATCCCCGACAGTAGCTATCATCTTCCTGTGAGATGATGGAGGGCTCCTCTTCCTTTGCTCAGGGAACGAACCTGGCCACTGTGCAGCCTGGCGATCTGGAAGAATGACGCTCTTGGGGAAAATCAGACATCGTGTATCTCCGAGACGCAAGACCCTTTGGAGGGAAAGGAGAGGCTGGGAGCCGGCAGGCTGTGTGCTGCATAGAGCAGTGCTTGTCTGAAGCTGCTCCCTGTGGTCTCTCTCTGAGAAATGTCAGGCCTTCTTCTGGGGAGTAGAAGCAGCAGATTCCTGTGCTGAAGAACCCATCCTGCAGCACCGCGCAGACAGTGCAGACGAGCCCTGAGGGTTTCTCCTCTTCCCTTTTACCTGCAGCCTCCCTCAGAACCTGCCTCAAGCTCCCATTTCCCCTCCAGATGAGCGGTGATGTCCAGTGGGCCCTGTAGTCTTCCCTTCTGAAAGAAAGTTTTCTTCAAGGGAATTGCACTTAGCACCTGTGAACCCTGGGCCTCCGATGGCCACACTAGGGGAAAAGCCAGGGCTGTGTAGGTTTCCACTAGTGATACAAGGCAAGTGGACAGTTATCTTCTGGAAAAATTACTTTGGAAATGGTTTGATTTAAAAATAAACAATGTAAAGATGGGCGTGGCACATGCCTGTAACCCGCACCTGTAGGCTGAGGCAGGAGGAAGATCACAAGTTCGAGGCCAGACTGAACCACATACTGAGACCTTGTCTCAAAAAAACAAAAAGCAACAAAAAGGAGCGAGAGCTCTTAAAAATGTTTGTAAAAGTTATAAACACCTTTGATGATGACAACGTGGGAAC